TTCGCGTGGATTTTCGCCGTTTTCTGGCACTTTCGGCCGTCCGAAGATGGCGCGATGACTTTATCGTATGGAGGTCTTAGGTGAGAAAATGAAAATTTTTATTTGGCCTATTAAAAATCTGAAAAAATTCACATAGACTAACTCAATGTCGAAATGAACGATTCCGTGGTGGAAATCGGGTAAATTTGAAAAATAGAGACGTAGTAGCCTACCGGAGTGCTTCTATTGGCAATAAAAGCGAAAATTTGACTTTGAGCGTCGATATCTCAAAAACTATCTGTCCTATCGGGCTGATTATGATCTCATTCGATTCAGCGTGTCATTTTCTACTGGAAAAGTGATAATTCGCGTGGATTTTTGCCGTTTTCTGGCACTTTCGGCCGTCCGAAGATGGCTCGGTGACTTTATCGTATGGAAGTCTTAGGTGAGAAAATGAAAATTTTTATTTGGCCTATTAAAAATCTGAAAAAATTCACATAGACTAATTCAATGTCGAAATGAACGAATCCGTGGTGGAAATCGGGTAATTTTGAAAAATAGAGCCGTAGTAGCCTACCGGAGTGCTGCTATTGCAATAAAAGCGAAAAGTTGACTTTGAGCGTCGATATCTCAAAAACTATCTGTCCTATCGGGCTGATTATGATCTCATTCGATTCAGCGTGTCATTTTCTACTGGAAAAGCGATAATTCGCGTGGATTTTCGCCGTTTTCTGGCACTTTCGGCCGTCCGAAGATGGCGCGATGACTTTATCGTATGGAGGTCTTAGGTGAGAAAATGAAAATTTTTATTTGGCCTATTAAAATTCTGAAAAAATTCACATTTACTAATTCAATGTCGAAATGAACGAATCCGTGGTGGAAATCGGGTAATTTCGAAAAATAGAGACGTAGTAGCCTACCGGAGTGCTTCAATTGGCAATAAAAGCGAAAAGTTGACTTTGAGCTCGATATCTCAAAAACTATCTGTCCTATCGGGCTGATTATGGTCTCATTCGATTCAGCGTGTCATTTTCTACTGGAAAAGTGATAATTCGCGTGGATTTTCGCCGTTTTCTGGCACTTTCGGCCGTCCGAAGATGGCGCGATGACTTTATCGTATGGAGGTCTTAGGTGAGAAAATGAAAAATTTGAAAAAATTCACATAGACTAATTCGATGTCGAAATGAACGGATTCGTGGTGGAAATCGGGTAATTCTGAAAAATAAAGACGTAGTAGCCTACCGGAGTGCTTCTATTGGCAATAAAAGCGAAAAGTTGAATTTGAGCGTCGATATCTCAAAAACTATCTGTCCTATCGGGCTGATTATGATCTCATTCGATTCAGCGTGTCATTTTCTACTGGAAAAGTGATAATTCGCGTGGATTTTTGCCGTTTTCTGGCACTTTCGGGCCGTCCGAAGATGGCTCGGTGACTTTATCGTATGGAAGTCTTAGGTGAGAAAATGAAAATTTTTATTTGGCCTATTAAAAATCTGAAAAAATTCACATAGACTAATTCAATGTCGAAATGAACGAATCCGTGGTGGAAATCGGGTAATTTTGAAAAATAGAGCCGTAGTAGCCTACCGGAGTGCTGCTATTGGCAATAAAAGCGAAAAGTTGACTTTGAGCGTCGATATCTCAAAAACTATCTGTCCTATCGGGCTGATTATGGTCTCATTCGATTCAGCGTGTCATTTTCTACTGGAAAAGCGATAATTCGCGTGGATTTTCGCCGTTTTCTGGCACTTTCGGCCGTCCGAAGATGGCGCGATGACTTTATCGTATGGAGGTCTTAGGTGAGAAAATGAAAATTTTTATTTGGCCTATTAAAAATCTGAAAAAATTCACATAGACTAATTCAATGTCGAAATGAACGAATCCGTGGTGGAAATCGGGTAATTTTGAAAAATAGAGACGTAGTAGCCTACCGGAGTGCTTCTATTGGCAATAAAAGCGAAAATTTGACTTTGAGCGTCGATATCTCAAAAACTATCTGTCCTATCGGGCTGATTATGATCTCATTCGATTCAGCGTGTCATTTTCTACTGGAAAAGTGATAATTCGCGTGGATTCTTGCCGTTTTCTGGCACTTTCGGCCGTCCGAAGATGGCTCGGTGACTTTATCGTATGGAAGTCTTAGGTGAGAAAATGAAAATTTTTATTTGGCCTATTAAAAATCTGAAAAAATTCACATAGACTAATTCAATGTCGAAATGAACGAATCCGTGGTGGAAATCGGGTAATTTTGAAAATAGAGCCGTAGTAGCCTACCGGAATGCTGCTATTGGCAATAAAAGCGAAAAGTTGACTTTGAGCGTCGATATCTCAAAAACTAATCTGTCCTATCGGGCTGATTATGGTCTCATTCGATTCAGCGTGTCATTTTCTACTGGAAAAGCGATAATTCGCGTGGATTTTCGCCGTTTTCTGGCACTTTCGGCCGTCCGAAGATGGCGCGATGACTTTATCGTATGGAGGTCTTAGGTGAGAAAATGAAAATTTTTATTTGGCCTATTAAAAATCTGAAAAAATTCACATAGACTAGTTCAATGTCGAAATGAACGAATCCGTGGTGGAAATCGGGTAATTTTGAAAAATAGAGACGTAGTAGCCTACCGGAGTGCTTCTATTGGCAATAAAAGCGAAAATTTGACTTTGAGCGTCGATATCTCAAAAACTATCTGTCCTATCGGGCTGATTATGATCTCATTCGATTCAGCGTGTCATTTTCTACTGGAAAAGTGATAATTCGCGTGGATTTTTGCCGTTTTCTGGCACTTTTGGCCGTCCGAAGATGGCTCGGTGACTTTATCGTATGGAAGTCTTAGGTGAGAAAATGAAAATTTTTATTTGGCCTATTAAAAATCTGAAAAAATTCACATAGACTAATTCAATGTCGAAATAAACGAATCCGTGGTGGAAATCGGGTAATTTTGAAAAATAGAGACGTAGTAGCCTACCGGAGTGCTTCAATTGGCAATAAAAGCGAAAAGTTGACTTTGAGCATCGATATCTCAAAAAGTATCTGTCCTATCGGGCTGATTATGGTCTCATTCGATTCAGCGTGTCATTTTCTACTGGAAAAGCGATAATTCGCGTGGATTTTTTGCCGTTTTCTGGCACTTTCGGCCGTCCGAAGAAGGCTCGATGACTTTATCGTATGGAAGTCTTAGGTGAGAAAATGAAAATTTTTATTTGGCCTATTAAAAATCTGAAAACATTCACATAGACTAATTCAATGTCGAAATGAACGAATCCGTGGTGGAAATCGGGTAATTTTGAAAAATAGAGCCGTAGTAGCCTACCGGAGTGCTGCTATTGCAATAAAAGCGAAAAGTTGACTTTGAGCGTCGATATCTCAAAAACTATCTGTCCTATCGGGCTGATTATGGTCTCATTCGATTCAGCGTGTCATTTTCTACTGGAAAAGCGATAATTCGCGTGGATTTTTGCCGTTTTCTGGCAGTTTCGGCCGTCCGATGATGGCGCGATGACTTTATCGTATGGAAGTCTTAGGTGAGAAAATGAAAATTTTTTATTTGGCCTATTAAAAATCTGAAAAAATTCACATAGACTAATTCAATGTCGAAATGAACGAATCCGTGGTGGAAATCGGGTAATTTTGAAAAATAGAGACGTGTACCCTACCGGAGTGCTTCAATTGGCAATAAAAGCGAAAAGTTGACTTTGAGCGTCGATATCTCAAAAACTATCTGTCCTATCGGGCTGATTATGGTCCCATTCGATTCAGCGTGTCATTTTCTACTGGAAAAGCGATAATTCGCGTGGATTTTCGCCGTTTTCTGGCACTTTCGGCCGTCCGAAGTTGGCTCGGTGACTTTATCGTATGGTGGTCTTAGGTGAGAAAATGAAAATTTTTATTTGGCCTATTAAAAATCTGAAATAATTCACATAGACTAATTCAATGTCGAAATGAACGAATCCGTGGTGGAAATCGGGTGATTTTGAAAAATAGAGCCGTAGTAGCCTACCGGAGTGCTGCTATTGGCAATAAAAGCGAAAAGTTGACCTTGAGCGTCGATATCTCAAAAACTATCTGTCCTATCGGGCTGATTATGGTCTCATTCGATTCAGCGTGTCATTTTCTACTGGAAAAGCGATAATTCGCGTGGATTTGTGCCGTTTTCTGGCACTTTCGGCCGTCCGAAGATGGCTCGGTGACTTTATCGTATGGAGGTCTTAAGTGAGAAAATGAAAATTTTTATTCGGCCTATTAATAATCTGAAAAAATTCACATAGACTAATTCAATGTCGAAATGAACGAATCCGTGGTGGAAATCGGGTAATTTCGAAAATAGAGACGTAGTAGCCTACCGGAGTGCTTCTATTGGCAATAAAAGCGAAAAGTTGACTTTGAGCGTCGATATCTCAAAAACTATCTGTCCTATCGGGCTGATTATGGTCACATTCGGTTCAGCGTTTCATTTTCTACTGGAAAAGCGATAATTCGCGTGGATTTCTGCCGTTTTCCTGGCACTTTCGGCCGTCCGAAGATGGCTCGGTGACTTTATCGTATGGAGGTCTTAAGTGAGAAAATGAAAATTTTTCCTCACCATAATGCACTCAGAAAATAAAAACGAAATTGACTATTTTTCAATTTTCCGTATGGAGGTCTTAAGTGAGAAAATGAAAATTTTTCCTCACCATAATGCACTCAGAAAATAAAAACGAAATTGACTATTTTTCAATTTCCCCCTGTATCTCTGAAACAAATGAAGATATCAAAACTTCAATTGTACTATTCGAGGTTTCTCTAAAATCGAACCCGTAACAGGTATATCGGTTTTTCCATAAGAATGAATATAATTGAATGCCGTATCTTTTTAATGTCACCCTGTATAAAATTTATAATGATGCCAATTGTACCATTCGGGGTTTCTCTAAAATCGAACCCGTAACATGTATATCGATTTCTCGATAACTCCTTCAGCTATTGAGATAGCTCGTGAAAACGCCCAATCTTGCCCACCCTGTACACGCTTTCTCGCTCCCTTCAGATGGAGGACACCGACCGACCCCCCCACCACCGCTACCAGCTCTGCTGCGTCATAATGCACGTGGGCGGCTCGATGGCTTCGGGCCACTACATCACCTACGTGAGGGGCGGCAACGACGCTGCCCCGCCTCGAGACTATTGCGACTGCCCGCGCGATACGCCCAAGGGCGGCAGCTTGTCGGCCAGCAGCAGCGAGAAGGCGCTGAACGTGATCAACAGGTTGTTGAAGACCAGGGGGGTAGTGGAGGGGAGGAACGGCTTGGGATCCAAAAGTGTCGTGCACGGTGAGAGTTTTCGATTGAAATGTTATTTTTCCTGTGACGGGAAAAAAGTTTGGCATTTCATCTCTGTTGGCAGGTTATGAAATGTCACTTCTCATAAATTACTTTTTTCCTGGATATATGTCATATATATACAGTGTGTCCCACTTACCATGCTCACCATGGGTATCTTTTTAACGGTGAGAGATACGAGGTCGGTTAAATGACACCAAATGTGGAGTTTGTCAAGGCCAACTATAATGTGAGAAAATATTTTGATGAAATCTATTCGTTTTTGTTTTATACGCAAAAAACAGATTTTGATCATTTTCATGTCTCCTCCGTAACTTCTTTATTTATGAAAATATTCAAATAGGAATTTCACATTCTCATGGCAGTTTTTCAAAGTGATTTCGAAAACATTATGAAATTTATACCAAATCTTCTAGAATTTGAGATATCAGCACCAACTTTAGTTTTTCAAATGTAGGTCATAGTTCACTATGACTTAGTTAAAAATAACTTTTTTTTCTCTTACAGATGATATGTCGCAGTAATAGTTTTGTGTTGATAACAACGGAGTTATCGTCATTTATACAAAAACAAAAAATTATTTTGGAGCCGCCATCTTGAATTCATGAATTTCAACAAGAAAATCATGATCTGCGACCTCAAAAACCCCCACTTACCAATTTTGAATGGAATCGGACCAAATCTTGTCCGCCATTTTGGAGCAGCCATTTTTTTAATTTCAACAAAAATTCCATAACTCCGATTTACTTGAAATTTGACAGGTGTTCATAATTTCGGTGACAATACATTATGGAATTTTTGTTGAAATTAAAAAAAAATGGCTGCTCCAAAATGGCGGACAAGATTTGGTCCGATTCCATTCAAAATTGGTAAGTGGGGGTTTTTGAGGTCGGAGATCATGATTTTCTTGTTGAAATTTATAAATTCAAGATGGCGGCTTCCAATTATTTTTTTGTTTTTGTATTAATGACGATAACTCCGTTGTTATCAACACAAAACTATTACTGCGACATATCATCTGTGTGAGAAAAAAAGTTATTTGTAACTAAGTCATAGTGAGCTATGACCTACATTTGAAAAACTGAAGTTGGTGCTGATATCTCAAATTCTAGAAGAGTTGGTATAAATTTCATATTTTTTTCGAAATCACTTCGAAAAACTGCCATGAGAATGTGAAATTTCTTTTTGAATATTTTCATAAATAAAGAAGTTACGGACAAGACATGAAAATAATCAAAATCTGTTATTTGCGTTTAAAACAAAAACGAATATATTTTATCAAAATATTTTTTCACATTATAGTTGGCCTTGACAAACTCCCACATTTGGTGTCATTTAACCGACCTCGTATCTCTCACCGTTAAAAAGATACCCATGGTGAGCATGGTAAGTGGGACACACTGTATGTTCCAATTAGATGTCATTAGATAGTAAATTCAAAGTTGAGATAGGGACATCAAAACTGTTTCGACCAATAATGAATAGTTTCAACACAAAAAAATACATAAGTTGAAAAATCTCGATTTTGAACACCCTATATATCTTTGTAATCATTCCCGCTAGACCCCAAGCTTGATACATTGATGAAATCAGCTCTTCAGGGAGAATCTGAAAATACAATGAAAAATAGGGTGTTCCATTTGAAAAAATCAAGTAATACTCTGTAGATCGTTTGTTCCGAGCACCCTGTATTTTCTGATGCAACGGGAAAAAAATTCTGAAAAATCATTTTAGATGCTTTCTGAAATTTTTAAATCGGTTAAAAAATAATTGAGCTAGAGGGGGGGGGACATTTATGGTGAATCACCCTGTACATTTTTTATCAATGTTTCCTCATTTATTTCGTCTTTCAGGCATGCGCACATGCAAAAGCATCGACTGCTGCGGCCTGCGCACCAACAAGACCGTCCTCGAGAACGCCATCAACGGCTTGCCGAAGAAAACCGACCGCGACCGACCGTTGCCGAGTCGGCCCGACGACGTCTGGCTGGAGTGCGACGACGAGACCGTCAAGCCCATCACCACCGAGGAGTTCGTCGAGGAGTTGAGCTTCAAGCCCAACTCCACTTCTACGCCCTATCTGCTCTTTTACGCCAAAATAACGGATTAATGGTAACGATTGGATTTTTTTGCGAGCGATTGAATCATGAATCTCTTTGAAACGTTATTCCATTTTTTTATTTATTCGTTTTTGGTACGGGAGTTTTGGGGCCCCCCCGTTGTTTTCTTTTGCGACTCTCGAGAAAACTTCCAGGATGAGTTCTTTCATATTTTTTGGTGTCTCAAGTACGTTAACAGGAAAGAAGCAATTGAATATCACAGAAAAAAGTTGTAAGCATCTCAATAACACCGAAAAAATTCAAATGATGTTTCCTTGGGACATTCTAGCAATTGAAGTTCATATAAACATGTGTCCTAACTTGCTCCGTTTTTGAGATACAGGATGTTGAAGTTCGAAGTATTAATTGTTTTCATTTATAACCCCCCTGTATAAGCCTTCATGGTGCCAAAATTCAGTATGGATGGAGACTGAGAAAGCCCCAAAATTTCAAAATGATTCTAATTGAGGTTATTGAGTAATCTCAATGAAAGTCTTTTCTATGGAGAAATGACAACATGGTGACAGCTGAGCGACATCTTCAAGTATTTTTTATATGCCCGGAAACTTCTCAAAATGATTCTAATTGAGGTTATTGAGTAATCTCAATGAAAGTCTTTTCTATAGAGAATAGACAACATGGTGGCAGCTGAGCGACATCTTCAAGTATTTTTTATATGTCCGGAAACTTCTCAAAATAATTCTAATTGAGGTTATTGAGTAATCTCAATGAAAGTCTTTTCTATAGAGAATTGACAACATGGTGGCAGCTGAGCGACATCTTCAAGTATTTTTTATATGTCCGGAAACTTCTCAAAATGATTCTAATTGAGGTTATTGAGTAATCTCAATGAAAGTCTTTTCTATGGAGAAATGACAACATGGTGACAGCTGAGCGACATCTTCAAGTATTTTTTATATGTCCGGAAACTTCTCAAAATGATTCTAATTGAGGTTATTGAGTAATCTCAATGAATGTCTTTTCTATGGAGAAATGACAACATGGTGACAGCTGAGCGACATCTTCAAGTATTTTTTATATGTCCGGAAACTTCTCAAAATGATTCTAATTGAGGTTATTGAGTAATCTCAATGAATGTCTTTTCTATGGAGAAATGACAACATGGTGACAGCTGAGCGACATCTTCAAGTATTTTTTATATGTCCGGAAACTTCTCAAAATGATTCTAATTGAGGTTATTGAGTAATCTCAATGAAAGTCTTTTCTATGGAGAAATGACAACATGGTGACAGCTGAGCGACATCTTCAAGTATTTTTTATATGTCCGGAAACTTCTCAAAATGATTCTAATAATTGAGGTTATTGAGTAATCTCAATGAAAGTCTTTTCTATGGAGAAATGACAACATGGTGGCAGCTGAGCGACATCTTCAAGTATTTTTTATATGTCCGGAAACTTCTCAAAATGTTTCTAATTGAGGTTATTGAGTAATCTCATTGAAAGTCTTTTCTATGGAGAAATGACAACATGGTGACAGCTGAGCGACATCTTCCAGTATTTTTTATCTGTCCGTAAACTTCTCATAATTCTCAATAGTTTTATCTTGTACACTCTAATTCTGAATTCAATTGTTTCAAACGTCTTAAAAGTGACATTTTCGTCTTTTCTTACCCAACCAAAAAAACGAATATTGCTTTCAATCAAGTTTGCTTCGGAAAAAATTAAGCTACGAAAACGATTTTTTTCCAGGACAAACTTGATTGAAAGCAACATTCGACCATTTGGTTGGGTTTGAAATGACCAAAAGCAAAACGTCATTTCTGAAACGTTGAAATTTCGATAATCATTGAAACTGTCCTAGAAAATTTGAAAATGGACTAATATACGGGATGGTCCATTTAAAAAAATACTTAATGGCGCCCAACGGCCATTTCAAAACTTTTAAGCTGTCATTTTTCCATAAAATGAATAGGTTTTCATCTCCCATTTGAGCCTACCAAATTTCATTGCAATATACCAGGTGGTTCAAAAATCAGTAGGCGGTAAATGTCTATAAACGGGTACTGTATACAGGGTAAGTTTCGTTCCAATCCGAGACCTTTCTGTAATGTTCAATTGAATTTTTCCACGTATTTGAAATCCACAGAAAAAATATGAAATTTCGAATGTTTTCTTTCTAGAGTTGAGAAGAAAAAAGTTGGGGGGTTGCTCTCCTACATGAAGATTCTGTACAAAATGTTATTGTGATTAAAAATGTGATAAATCACATGGTCGGTATACTATTGACGTCGAATTTATGTTTATCATTTGAAAACAGTTATTTTTGTGTGTGGATAAACTGGATGAAGTTGAGTGGTTATTTTTTTCACAGGAGTGAAAAAGAATCATAACTCACGTGTTGGCTGGAATATTTTTTCTGTAACTGTCAAAAAAACTTTGCACTTTTCCCACAATGTTGAGCTTGAAATAACGAATAATTGATATGAAATTTGTTGCAGGAATAAACCTAGGGAGTTGAATGAAAGTTATTTTTTGGGCAATGAAATCAAAACAAATTCAAATTGTCCCTGATTGACATTTCAGACTGCCATTGATAACTCAATAATGACCTAGATATGGTACAAAACTGCATCTTTTTGACAGTTGTTGAAAAATTCGGTTTGAATATTTAAATTAAACAAAATGTTAGTTCCAATTCAAAATTTAATCGGTATAGCTCATTTGTTTGAAGCAAATATGAACCTCATAAAAAATCTTTAGACTAATATTTGCTTTGTTAATCGAAAAAAAAATTGTTAGAGAAAAGATCTGAATGTTTAACTATTCTGAAGCTTCTTGGATGTTTGTATCAGCTGTCACAAAAAGTTGATGGAGCTTGATTACAAAAAAAAAACTGCTTTCGGCGTAATTTCTTCCATGAATAATAATCGGCACATCAGATACAAGAAAAATTTTCAAGAAACAGAAAAAAACTCACCATAAAGTTCATTTCATTGTCAACACAAACAAATTTGAACAAATTCAAAGATCATCCGGATTCAAAATCGATTTTTTTTTCTTAATCAGCTGACGCGCCTAATATGGATCACCCCGTATTTACATGGTGGCACAAATTGGACACTTTCAAGTTAGTTCTAAGGAAAAACTATTCACACCATTGAATTTCACATAAAACATTGAATTTCACATAAAACATTGGTCTAGGATTTTTTTTTTCATAAGAACAGAATTATTTTTGACAGAAATTTGGTTTTCAACAATGCACATTCGCGAAAAAAATCCTGTAACTTTGAGTCAATGATAATTGATCTATATTTTTCATGATTGAATTTTGTCATCAAAATTGACCCTTAGTTCTAAAATAATTTCTGATTTAAAGTATTCAATTTGTGCCACCCTGTACAACGGTGAAATCGAAGTTAAAGCGATATTCTAGCAATGTAGCTTGTGACAACAGTTGTTAAGTGTACGCGAATAAATTTCATGATTCGAAGGTAAGTATTTTTGGGTTCGGTGCGTTTTTTTTTTTGAAAAATCTTCTTTCATCAAGCCACCCCGCAAAATAAAACGATTTCATAGGTCTGACTTCGGTGAATCTCCAGTGCACAAATGTAAAGTTCTGATATAACTATACAGTGTGTTCTAGATTGAGTGCATAAAACAAATAAAATTACTAGCTGCTTACTGAAATTTGGAGAAAATAAGCTTCATGGACTAATGAAGTTTTGAATCTAAATAATACCGAAAAAATTTAAGAGGTGATACTGTAATGAAAATCAAGGTGGGTATTTGGTATTAAATTGTTTGATAAACCTCCGAAGATTTGAAAAAATGGATATTTTTTTAATTTCCCTGTATACAGGGTAACTCACGGTCAATGGTACGTTAGACGTTTACGGAGAACAGGGTGGTGCAGAATTCAGAATCTTGATCACCCGGTATATGTCCCAATTAAATATCAGTAGATAGTTGATCAAAAGTTGGGATAGGGACATGTGAGCCGTTTTGACCAATAATGAATAGTTTCGACAAAAAAAATTCCTAAAGTTGAAAAATGTCGATTTTTCACACCCTATATCTCTGTAATCATTTCCGCTAGACCCCAAGTGTGATACATCGATGAAATCAGCTCTTCAGAGAGAATCTGATAATGCAATAAAATACAGGGTGTTCCATTTAAAATAACAAAGTTGTTGCTACTTTTCTATAGAAGCGGCAACGCCGCAGAGCTGAAAATATTTTAGATCGATAGACCAAGAGCATGTTTTGAAATGTTTTCAGCCCTGGAGTATTTTTAAAAGGGGTTGAAATATTCAACCCCTAAGATAATTTTTCTCGAATTTTTTTTTTGGAATAAAAATGTGTCTTCTAAAAAAACATGGCTGAGAAGCCGAATTCAATCACTGAGTTTTCTCCAAAAGTCTGAGCATTAGCCATGTTTTTTCAAAAGACACATTTTTATTCCAAAAAAAGATTTAACCCATTTGACCCTGAAACTACTTTCTCCAATTTAGTATATTTTATTCTCAAAAACGGTTTATAGAAGGTCCCATAAGTCGAGAAAAAATTATAAAAAATATTTCGATCTTGCTGTCCCTTTAAGTTTAAGAAGACGGTAGGATAAAGGGTTACTATGAGAAAACTAATCAAAGATTTAATAAAACGTTTATATTATATCCTACAAAATGCTCAGCAAAATACTTGAAACTTTTAGAAACATTACTATAATAGGCCAAAAAATACGGTATAACAGCCTCATCAAGGCTGTGATTCTCTTCAATTGGGGCATGATCGAAAAACCGTCACTATCGATCCAAAACTTGACAAAATTCTAACGATCGCGATTGACCTTGTGTAAGATGTCAACAAAATATGATGTGATACTGGCGACATCTTCAAACCGTCAGCTGAATCAGAAAAATAGAGGTTCCGTATTGAAGTCCTTCCAAAAGGACGGTAGGCGTAAATGGGTTAAGAAAGATATCTTAGGGGTTGAATATTTAACCCCTTCTAAATGCTCAGCAAAATACTTAAAACTTTTAGAAACATTACTATAATAGGCCAAAAATACGGTATAACAGCCTCATCAAGGCTGTGATTCTCTTCAATTGGGGCATGATTGAAAAACCGTCACTATCGATACAAAACTTGACAAAATCCTAACGATCGCGATCGACCTTGTGTAAGATGTCAACAAAATATAATGTGATACTGGCGACATCTTCAAACTGTCAGCTGAATCAGAAAAATACAGGTTCCGTATGGAAGTCCTTCTAAAAGGACGGTAGGCGTAAATGGGTTAAGAAAGATATCTTGGGGGTTGAATATTTAACCCCTTCTAAATGCTCAGCAAAATACTTGAAACTTTTAGAAAAATTTCTATAATAGGCCAAAAATACGGTATAACAGCCTCATCAAGGATGTGATTCTCTTCAATTGGGGCATGATTGAAAAACCGTCACTATCGATCCAAAACTTGACAAAATCCTAACGATCGCGATCGACCTTGTGTAAGATGTCAACAAAATATAATGTGATACTGGCGACATCTTCAAACCGTCAGCTGAATCAGAAAAATACAGGTTCCGTATTGAAGTCCTTCTAAAAGGACGGTAGGCGTAAATGGGTTAAGAAAGATATCTTAGGGGTTGAATATTTAACTCCTTCTAAATGCTCAGCAAAATACTTAAAACTTGTAGAAACATTAATATAATAGGCCAAAAAAATACGGTATAACAGTCTCATCAAGGCTGTGATTCTCTTCAATTGGGGCATGATTGAAAAACCGTCACTATCGATCCAAAACTTGACAAGATCCTAACGATCGCGATTGACCTTGTGTAAGATGTCAACAAAATATAATGTGATACTGGCGACATCTTCAAACCGTCAGCTGAATCAGAAAAATACAAGTTCCGTATTGAAGTCCTTCTAAAAGGTCGGTAGGCGTAAATGGGTTAAGAAAGATATCTTAGGGGTTGAATATTTAACCCCTTCTAAATGCTCAGCAAAATACTTAAAACTTTTAGAAACATTACTATAATAGGCCAAAAAATACGGTATAACAGCCTCATCAAGGCATTGGGGCATGATTGAAAAACCGTCACTATCGATTCAAAACTCGACAAAATCCTAACGATCGCGATTGACCTTGTGTAAGATGTCAACAAAATATAATGTGATACTGGCGACATCTTCAAACCGTCAGCTGAATCAGAAAAATACAAGTTCCGTATTGAAGTCCTTCTAAAAGGACGGTAGGCGTAAATGGGTTAAGAAAGATATCTTAGGAGTTGAATATTTAACCCCTTCTAAATGCTCAGCAAAATACTTGAAACTTTTAGAAAAATAACTATAATAAGCCAAAAAATACGGTATAACAGCCTCATCAAGGCTGTGATTCTCTTCAATTGGGGCATGATTGAAAAACCGTCACTATCGATCCAAAACTCGACAAAATCCTAACGATCGCAATTGACCTTGTGTAAGATGTCAACAAAATATAATGTGATACTGGCGACATCTTCAAACCGTCAGCTGAATCAGAAAAATACAGGTTCCGTATTGAAGTCCTTCCAAAAGGACGGTAGGTGTAAATGGGTTAAGAAAGATATCTTAGGGGTTGAATATTTAATTCCTTCTAAATGCTCAGCAAAATACTTAAAACTTTTAGAAACATTACTATAATACGCCAAAAAATACGGTATAACAGCCCCATCAAGGCTGTGATTCTCTTCAATTGGGGCATGATTGAAAAACCGTCACTATCGATCCAAAACTTGACAAAATCCTAACGATCGCGATTGACCTTGTGTAAGATGTCAACAAAATATAATGTGATACTGGCGACATCTTCAAACCGTCAGCTGAATCAGAAAAATACAGGTTCCGTATTGAAGTCCTTCTAAAAGGACGGTAGGCGTAAATGGGTTAAGAAAGATATCTTAGGGGTTGAATATTTAACCCCTTCTAAATGCTCAGCAAAATACTTAAAACTTTTAGAAACATTACTATAATAGGCCAAAAAATACGGTATAAGAGCCTCATCAAGGCTGTGATTCTCTTCAATTGGGGCATGATTGAAAAACCGTCACTATCGATCCAAAACTCGACAAAATCCTAACGATCGCGATTGACCTTGTGTAAGATGTCAACAAAATATAATGTGATACTGGCGACATCTTCAAACCGTCAGCTGAATCAGAAAAATACAGGTTCCGTATTGAAGTCCTTTTAGAAGGATTCAGCTGACGGTTTGAAGATGTCGCCAGTATCACATTATATTTTGTTGACATCTTACACAAGGTCAATCGCGATCGTTAGGATTTTGTCGAGTTTTGGATCGATAGTGACGGTTTTTCAATCATGCCCCAATTGAAGAGAATCACAGCCTTGATGAGGCTATTATACCGTATTTTTTTGCCTATTATAGTAATGTTTCTAAAAGTTTTAAGTATTTTGCTGAGCATTTAGAAGAGGTTAAATATTCAACCCCTAAGATATCTTTCTTAAGAAAGATATCTTAGGGGTTGAATATTTAACCCCTTCTAAGCGTACTTCAGGGTTGAAAACATTCTAAAACGTGTAGTTTCATTGACAAATACTATTTACCAAAGTTCGTGACTTTAGCTTGATATACAGGGGAAATAAAAAAGAAAAACATTTTTTTTTTTCAATTTCCTTGTAGAGGTTTTCCAAAAAAATTTGTACTCGATAGCCACCCTAATTTTCATCACAGAATCGCCCCCTTCAATTTTTGCGGTGTTATTTAGATACACCCTGTATAGGGCTATTCATAAATTTCCTAACATATGGAAAAATGATATGGTTTTTTGTAGTACAAATCTATTTATTTGATGTGATCTTGTATCAAATTTTCATATGTTTATTCATGTTCCTCGGTAAAATGTTTCGAATCAAGCAGTAGATTTCAAACTCAAATAATATCGAATAATTTTTTCTAAGCAATTGAGAGATTGTCTCCTATTTAGGACGCACTGTATAATTTTCCATATACAGGGTGTTACAAGTGTGGAACACCTTGCTTTGTAACATAAATAATAATAAGTATTGTATATTAAGTACATTTAATTAATTTAATAATACAATGTGGCAAAAATAAATAAATTAATGACAGCTGGCTTGTTTGTAAATATTATACAATCCAACTTTTAATGATCCAAATAAATTTTTGTTTCATATAGTAGCTGTGATTGTTTTTCTAACCACAAAATAATAATAATAATGTCTGATGATGATGATTATGCCCTCTTTTTTTGACCTACCTCGAATTGATAGTGTGACACTTCGATCTATATTTATTATTTGGAATATTTTGTGAGTATTTTGTGGATGGCATCAGCATGTTTGTTTTGCCATTGTATGTTGATTTTCACTGTTTCCAAAGATTGTTCCACCCCTTTTTTCACTTCCGAAAAGTTTGCCCTATTTTGATCGATGAAATGCTCCAACTAGAACGAGAAAAACAAAAGTTGTGATTTTTTTTTGTCGACAATGAAAAAAACGTCTTACTTCTTGTTGATCTTTTTCTTCAGTCATCTGAGTGGCTAAGGATGACAGGTATCTGCTGATTCTCCTTTTGTTTGGTTGCAAGCTGAGGAAAAAAATCAAGTCCAAAATATGTTGAGAATTACGAGGATAAAGGGGGGTGACATTTAAGTGGGACACCCTGTACACTAATGTACTGTGTCCGTCCAAAGGCCCTTCGAGCAACCAGCATGACCAAATATTTCTTATTCTCCATAATGAAATATCATGTAAATGTTGAAGACTTGGCAACATTGTGCAGAATGCTGAGAACTGACAAGACCACGCCCACAAATCATAAGGGAACATTTTGATACAATGGGGAAGTTTCCTTCAGATGAATTTTCATAAAATAAGTTCGGAACTCTCCAGTTTTATGTCCACGCTGTACAAAATGGCGGCCGATAAAGTCCAAGTCGTTTTCATTTTCAAATTAAAACAATTTCTAATTTTCGCGGAGGCAAACTGTGACGTACATTCTGAATCTAGTCAGAAAATAGCTGATGATGAAGAATATAGCTAGCGAATAGCTAACGAATGAAAAACGAATGAAAACAATAGAAGAAGTAAAACTGGTAAACAAAATCATACATAACCAGAAATGCTCTCCGAGCAGGAATGCAGAAGGTAGTTGGCTTCATTCTGACAGGTTATTGTTTTGTTATTTATGCATTGAAATATCTCGAATAGAGCTCGATCCTAAACGAAAATATTATTGAATCAATGAATCACTATCGGCTACATTCAATGATACTATCCTTCCTAATTTACTGTCATCGGTCAGAACAGAATGAAGCCGACACCCATGGCTCCTTCCTCTTGTTGTGCCTGTCAGTATTTTCAGTGGTATGGACGGATTCGAAGTATTAGGCGCTGTTGCAAGATAAAATCTGCAACTTTCTTAGAAAATAGATCCGTTTCATTAAGGAACGAATTCATTAGCAAATAAATGACAAGTTACCCAGCGAGCACAAAAACATCTCAGAGATGTTAAAAGTACGAGATTTCGAGACATTGAACCTCCACTGCGATGTTCTGTTCACATATGAATAGAACTATTATAGAACAGCCAATGTCCGCCGCAGGCGGCATTTATCGAGATGTCCTTGATATTGTCACAAAACTACCTTCTCCCTAGTTCTTTTTAAAGCCTTTTCATGGACACAACAGAACATTTTCAACAAGTCTTGCGCACATTAAATCGCTGTAAAAAAACATTTTCGAGGTTCTTTTCTGAAGCCTTTTGTCAAAATGAACTTTTGCATTAGGATTCCATTTCCCTTGAATGAAAAAATACATTAAAAATAGATTGAACATAAAAATATTTTCTTGATATGAAATTACCTTGCTAATCGGTTTCTGAGTAGTGCTTACTACACACAGTCATATAATTGGAAATAGGTTTCCCAATTTTTGAAATGTTCTCCACAATGCATAATTTTGCAACTGCGGAGAAGCTGTGTATTGATGAATTCGTACTTTTATAATATATTGATTATCTGAGGCACCGAACCACACATCTTGCATCTGATGGTCATTATTACAAACTAAATAAGTCTTCTAACACAATAAACTTCATCGAATTTCTTTCTGTTCGTTAGCAGCGTGATGTAAGCGTGATACGCTGCAAACGCGAATGCCAATTGCGAACAAGAAGAACAAAATCTAAAACAAATCAGAATTCATCGTATTGTGACGTAAGCATGAGACGTTGTGGCGGGGCAAACAAAGAAAGGGCACAAAAGAACAAAAACAATACTTTCAATATCCTTCTAAGACCTCTTTGGGTAGTGCATATCACGCCTCAAAAAAACATCCTCATGCCTACATTTCTAAAACATCTCAAAACATCCCAGGGATACCTCTCAGTAGGCAAACAAAGAAATGCCACAGAAGAACAAAAACAGTACTTCAATATCCTTCAAATACCTCTTTGGTCAGTGCATATTACGTCTCAAAATAACATCTTCATGCCAACATTTTCAAAACATCCCAGGGATGTTCGTGCTCGCTGGGTATGAATAACATATTGTAATATAACGATAGTGAAAAATTATAGATACTATCGCAAAATATCATAATTTATCTTTATTAGTAATCATCATCCAATGAGGGATTCATGGGAATTATTCATAATACTTGAATTAACGATAAGAGTGTATCAGATAAACGACGGAATGATATACGGAGTTTTCCCTTCAAAAAAATTATTCAAGATGGCGCTCAGCCGCCATTTTGAAACTTCAAGCTGTTGTTTTTTCATGGAAAACTAGGTTTTCATCTCCTATTTGAGCCCTTCAAATTTCGTTGCGTTATACCAGGTGGTGCAAAAATTAGAAAGGGGGAACGGACTTCAAGACGAACACTGTATACTCAAAAGTAATTGAAAGGTTACAAAACTAAATTAATCATGAGACCTAATATAAAATACTCACTGTTTGAATATGTGGTCGACATTCTCGTAGAAGAAGCTCTTAGCGATAAAATAGCCGACATCGTTTCTGGCAACAGCGCTGAAAACGGTGCTACTGTCCTGTCTCCGTATTTTCGTGTCATTCAAAGACCATTCCAAGTACCGCTTGAGCAGCCATATTTCATTGGTGCATCCGAGGGCGTTCAGCAAAGTGCTCTTTCGTACACAAAAATAAATAGTTCATTGATTTTTCAACAATTAAATACCAAATGTGAAAACTCCACAAACGTAAGATTTCCACAAGATTCTTAAACTTCACAAACGATAAGATTTCCACAAGATTCTCAAACTTCACAAACGATAAGATTTCCACAAGATTCTTAAACACACAACATGTACAGTGTGTCCCACTTACCATGCTCACCATGGGTATCTTTTTAACAGTGAGAGATACGAGGTCGGTTAAATGACACCAAATGTGGAGTTTGTCAAGGCCAACTATAATGTGAAAAAATATTTTGATGAAATCTATTCGTTTTTGTTTTATACGCAAAAAACAGATTTTGATCATTTTCATGTCTCCTCCGTAACTTCTTTATTTATAAAAATATTCAAATAGGAATTTCACATTCTCATGGCAGTTTTTCAAATTGATTTCGAAAAAAATATGAAATTTATACCAACTCTTCTAGAATTTGAGATATCAGCACTAACTTTAGTTTTTCAAATGTAGGTCATAGCTCACTATGACTTAGTTACAAATAACTTTTTTTTCTCTTTCAGATGATATGTCACAGTAATAGTTTTGTGTTGATAACAACGGAGTTATCGTCATTTATACAAAAACAAAAAATTATTTGGAAGCCGCCATCTTGAATTTATAAATTCAAACAAAAAAATCATGATCTCCGACCTCAGAAACCCCCACTTACCAATTTTGAATGGAATCGGACCAAATCTTGTCCGCCATCTTGGAGCACCCATTTTTTTCAATTTCAACAAAATTTCCATAATGCTTTGTTACCAAAATTATAAACACCTGCCAACTGTCAAGTTAATCGGAGCTATGGCATTTTTGTTGAAATTAGAAAAAAATGGCTGCTCCAAGATGGCGGACAAGATTTGGTCCGATTCCATTCAAAATTGGTAAGTGGGGGTTTTCGAGGTCGGAGATCATGATTTTTTTGTTGAAATTTATAAATTCAAGATGGCGGCTTTCAAATAATTTATTGTTTTTGTATAAATGACGATAACTCCGTTGCTATCAACACAAAACTATTACTGCGACATATCATCGGTAAGAGAAAAAAAAGTTATTTGTAACTAAGTTATAGTGAGCTATGACCTACATTTCAAAAACTAAAGTTGGTGCTGATATCTCAAATTCTAGAAGGGTTGGTATAAATTTCATATTTTTTTCGAAATCACTTTGAGAAAATGCCATGAGAATGTGAAATTCCTATTTGAATATTTTCATAAATAAAAAAGTTACGGAGGAGACATGAAAATGATCAAAATCTGTGTTTTGCGTATAAAACAAAAACGAATAGATTTTATCGAAATATTTCTTCACATTATAGTTGGCCTTGACAAACTCCACATTTGGTGTCATTCAACCGACCTCGCATCTCTCACCGTTAAAAAGATACCCATGGTGAGCATGGTAAGTGGGACACACTGTATACTAGCATATCACCTGACGAAGCTACTGTGTTAGCGAAACATGTTGTGTTTTTAAGATTTTTGTGGAAATCTTATCGTTTGTGAAGTTTTTACATTTGCCATAGATTTCTATCAAGTAACGGCCGAGTCAAATAAAAAACAAAATTAAATACCAGTATATTCTTGAAACACAGTGACATTTTGAGGCAAATCAACTGATTTGTCCTCACTACACGTATATTGAAATAGTATTCATATTCTATTTTATTGAGACGAGGAGAGAAAATCCCAAAAAAATCTGAAATAATGGATTGAATTGAAGATTTTTTTCTTGCGCATTAATGTATTTTTCCGTCGACCTCGTATTACCGAGTAAGTTTAATGTTCATGAAATCGTTCATTAATGATCCCTATTAATGAACGATTTGTCTATTAATGCACGATTGTTTTATAGGCAACCAAACATACACCGCGTGCATTCATGTTTATGCTATAACTTACGGAATCTGCATTTAAATCGAAAATATGAATTTCATCGAAGATTTTCCGTTAACGGGTTCGCCTTTCCAAGTTTCTGACACGATTTTAATCCCTGTTTTCTAACACAAGGAATTTATTTTCTATGGTGATCATTTCGACAAATGTCAAATGTCACTAATGTCAGTAACAAGGCTACTGGGTGATTCTCAGCAGTTTCCGGATGAATGATGAATTCGGACACCAAGTTTTCTTCATTGCAGGAGAAATGAGAAATATAGTCGACGGAATTTTTTTTAACCAACTCGTATATTAAAAGGCGATTAAAGATCTCGATCATTCATCGACCTCATTAATACACTATATGGTTAAATAACTATTAATTGTTACTAGATATACGATTACACTTTTCGTTTCTTCAAGGGTAAAACAGTTCTGAAGATGTTAACATAGTTGCCGAAACACGTTTCTAGATGTGGTATTGAATAATGAAAAAAAAATGTTGAATTGAGATGCATTTACCTTTTCTGTGGCCACGTTGGAAGTTTGATACTTCTTCCACAAAAAGTCCCATTCAGCTTCACCTCCATGTTTCAAACTGGTGCAATATACAACGCCTTTCAAATCTTTGGAAATTCTACAATAAAACGCTAATAGTGAATAAAAAATACATAATTAATATCAAATGTTGCTTGCGTTAATATTTTTTTAGCTGTCCCGATTTTTTTCATTTTTTCATGGTTTATACAGGGTGTTTCTTAAGTACGTAATACTGGTACGCACAAAGAAGTTATGACTTTTCAAAATACTCAAAAGACATGTAGGTGGCGCCATCCGCACGAAAGAAACAAACCAACATGAAAATTGATAGTGTCATTGAAAAATACCCCTAGATACCAAACTTTATTCAAATATCACAACTAAACTGGGCGTCAATTGAAACGTTAATAGTGAAATTTGGCATCAAGTTTGACTTCTCGTAATTTCTAAAATATTGAACGAATTTTGAATTGCCGCCCAGATTCTGAATGCCTTTTTCATCGTCTTTCAAACCGTTCCTTGAAGCTTCTTCTAAATCGATCAGGACCCGTGATACAGGGTGAAACAAAGTTTCGTGCATTTTAAAAAGAATTTCTCCGCCCCCCCATTTTGTCGGAAGACCACGATGCTCATATTTTCTACAGGCATTTCATAATTAGCAACCATACCTCGGGACGTTTTCGAGTTTTTGTCAAAAACTACTGTGGTTTCCGAAAAAAATTTTTTTTTGCTTTTTTTTTAAATGGACTGATTACCTGTATCCTCAAAACGATGAATCAGTCTATTTATTGTCATGACTGACTCATTGAAAATGGTACTTAAATGAGTTTGGGTATATCCTTATCGTCATAACCTGAAATATTAATTATCTGTACTGAATTATAGTTTATATCACTATAGTGATCTTACCTAATGATATTTTCCATTTCGACCCGATTTGAACGAGGCATCTTTAAATTATTTAGGACCCGAATTACACTGACGTTTTCATGAAAATTGGCAATTGATATAACCTCTATGCATACCTACATTGTGTCAACAATACCTTGTTATAAAAACAAGGTATCGTTGTTTGTTTTTGTTGATGAGATATGTTGATTTACTGCTCACTAAGGTAGAAAACTTTCATCATAGACTGCGAAGTAATAAATTATTGATCGTTTTTGAGTAACCTGGTATACATATCTGCTCCAATGCTCTCCTGAAATGCATAAAAGCATCCATTTATGGAACTCCTCTAAAATTAGTCAATTTAAAAAAAATATAAAAACTTTTTTTTTTGGAAACCACAGTAGTTTTTGGCAAAAACTCGAAAACGTCCCGAGGTATGGTTGCTATTTATGAAATGCCTGAATAAAATATGAGCATCGTGGTCTTCCGACAAAATGGGGGGGCGGAGAAATTGTTTTCAAAATGCACGAAACTTTGTTTCACCCTGTATCATGGGTCCTGATCAATTTAGAAGAAGCTGTAAGGAACGGTTCGAAAGACGATGAAAGAGGCATTCAGAATCTGGGCAGCAATTCAAAATTCGTTCAATATTTTAGAAATTACGAGAAGTCAAATGTCAAATTTCACTATTAACGTTTCAATTGACGCCCAGTTTATTTCGCAATTTATTAACAAAAAACGAAAATAAGAATTCAACTTTGACACTCTGTATCTCCGAAACGAAGAACTGTCGGACATATATTTATACGAACTTTTCTTCTTATTTTGACGTCAGCAACGTGCTCCTGAATGTTCTACGCGTACTCAAGAAACACCCTGTATACTTACATAGAATTTCCTTGAGGATTTTCCTTGACTTTGTTGAACAAATTCCGCGAATGTGCGATGCAATTTGCAACTTCGAATTTGCAAGCCTTACTGGCAACCAGAACTTGCAACTTTATCGAATCTAATTTATCAGCACTTGAAGTGGGAATTTCTAGACCTCCTATCTGTTCGTAGATGGGTGTCAACAACTGCTTCATGTACTCCTGAAAATAATATATAGTGTGTCCCACTTACCATGCTCACCATGGGTATCTTTTTAACGGTGAGAGATACGAGGTCGGTTAAATGACACCAAATGTGGAGTTTGTCAAGGCCAACTATAATGTGAAAAAATATTTTGATAAAATCTATTCGTTTTTGTTTTATACGCAAAAAACAGATTTTGATCATTTTCATGTCTCCTCCGTAACTTCTTCATTTATGAAAATATTCAAATAGGAATGTCACATTCTCATTGCAGTTTTTCAAAGTGATTTCGAAAAAAATATGAAATTTATACCAACTCTTCTAGATTTTGAGATATCAGCACCAACTCTAGGTTTTCAAATGTATGTCATAGCTCACTATGACTTAGTTACAAATAACTTTTTTTTCTCTTACAGATGATGTGTCGCAGTAATAGTTTTGTGTTGATAACAACGGAGTTATCGTCATTGATACAAAAACAAAAAATTATTCGGAAGCCGCCATCTTGAATTTATGAATTTTAATAAAGAGTCATTATCTCCGACCTCAAAAACTCCCACTTACCAATTTTGAATGGAATCGGACCAAATCTTGTCCGCCATCTTGGAGCAGCCATTTTTTTTTAATTTCAACAAATATTCCATAATGTATTGTCACCAAAATTATGAACACCTGCCAAATTTCAAGTTAATCGGAGTTATGGAATTTTTGTTGAAATTAAAAAAAATGGCTGCTCCAAGATGGCGGACAAGATTTGGTTCGATTCCATTCAAAATTGGTAAGTGGAGGTTTTTGAGGTCGGAGATCATGATTTTTTTTGTTAAAATTTATAAATTCAAGATGGCGGCTTCCAAATAATTTTTTTGTTTTTGTATAAATGACGATAACTCCGTTGTTATCAACACAAAACTATTACTGCGACATATCATCTGTAAAAGAAAAAAAAGTTATTTGTAACTAAGTCATAGTGAGCTATGACCTACATTTGAAAAACTAAAGTTGGTGCTGATATCTCAAATTCTAGAAGAGTTGGTATAAATTTCATATTTTTTTCGAAATCACTCTAAAAAACTGCCATAAGAATGTGAAATTCCTATTTGAATATTTTCATAAATAAAGAAGTTACGGAGGAGATATGAAAATGATCGAAATCTGTTTTTTGCGTATAAAACAAAAACGAATAGATTTTATCAAAATATTTTTTCACATTATAGTTGGCCTTGACAAACTCCACATTTGGTGTCATTTAACCGACCTCGTATCTCTCACCGTTAAAAAGATACCCATGGTGAGCATGGTAAGTGGGACACACTGTATACAGGGTGGCATTGAAATAAGTACAAAAATTTCAAACACTGAGAAAGCGAAAGCTCGACGTGTACTATCGAATGGGACTAATGAAAAAAATTTAGTGATCAAAATAAAATTTGAGGTTAGACCCCTTTTCCTACCCAAAGTTCTACACTCGTCTACAGCTCGTCACGACATATCCTGTATACTTCATTATGATACGCGGTCAACAGTGATTATTTCAACCTCTCTGCGCCGCCGAAACTACTATTTATATGGTCAACAGTCAATAACAGAAGAATTCGTGACAATATTTTATCACTATTCATCACGACCATTGAGGAAAACAATTTTTTTTTGAAGTACCTTGTATTGGCCGTAAGTCGAGGATCTTTTCAGGTGCGTAGTGAGGCCCGCTGTTTTTCCCAGTGCAGCTTTCCACGGCAAATACTCCCTCTCCGCTTTCAGATATTTCAGCAACTCGAAGAAAATGTCGTACTTCAAGTTTCCGACGAATGCCAAATCTGCCGCGTCGCTCAGTAGTTGTACCCTATTCAATGTCGGTATTTCGTCGTAGTGCTCGCTTTGCAAATATTTGGTGATCAGGTCCCAATTCCGCTCATCGTAATTGACTTTGTATATTCCTAACAAAAAAATAAACTGCTCAACACTTGAACACGTAAAATCGAAATTTTCTTGATATATAGGGTGGGCCACCAGTAACGCGTCGGTCTCTAGAAGGCTAACCACTCATCTTCTTGGAATTCTTCCTCTCTAGGAAGTTGCATGTCAACATAGGCTACCATTTGACATTATTTTGAACCATACAGGATGTCCCCAAAAATCACAAAACACTGAAGTTAAACTTTTTTCAATCGAACACCCTATATAATATTTCATTTTGAGATTCTCCCTGGTGAGCTGATTTCAACAATCCATCATACTTGGGGTCTACCAGTTATAATTACTGAGATATAGGGTGTGAGAAATCGAGATTTTCCAAGTTCAAGAATTTTTTGTGTCTAAACCATTCATAATTGGTCAAAACGGCTCACATGTCCCTATCTCAACTCTTGATCAACTATCTACTGACATTTAATTGAAACAAATACAGGGTGGTGCAGAATTCAGAATCTTGATCACCCGGTATATGTCCCAATTAAATATCAGTAGATAGTTAATCAAAAGTTGAGATAGGGACATGTAAGCCGTTTTGACCAATTATGAATAGTTTCGACACAAAAAATTCTTGAACTTGGAAAATCTCGATTTCTCACACCCTATATCTCAGTAATTATAACTGCTAGACCCCAAGTATGATGGGTCGTTGAAATCAGCTCATCAGGGAGAATCTCAAAATGAAATAATATTTAGGGTGTTCGATAGAAAAAAGTTTAACTTCAGTGTTTTATGGTTTTTGGGGACACCCTGTATGTTTCAAAATAATTTCAAATGGTAGCCTATGTTGACATGCAACTTCCTAGAGAGGAAGAATTCCGAGAAGATAAGTGGTTAGCCTTCTAGAGACCGAGGCGTTACTGGTGGCCCACCCTGTATATTGATTCATCTTAATTTTTGACTTATTCTCAATTTATTTGCGGTATCTATTCAGAATATGATTCTACAGAATGATAACGAAAGCTGTGCAATTATTTTTGAACGAAATTTTCAAATGTTTTTCTGAGATGAAGAAAATTGAACCTCCTGTATTGTCGAAACGGTTCTAGTGACAATTGTTTTTGGATGACCACCCTTAATCAGTGACTATGTTGATCATGCATTATTTCAAGATTCCGCTCGTCGTAATTGACTTTGTATATTCCTAAAAGAAATAAACTGCTCAACACTTGAAAACGTAAAATCGAAATTTTGTTGATAAATTTTGATTCATCGTAATTTTTGACTGCCTCAAGCGATTCTCAATTTCTTTGCGGTATCTATTCAGAATATGTTTCTACAGGATGGTAGTCAAAGCTGTGCAATTATTTCCAAACGAAATTTTTCAATTTTTTTCTGAGATTGAAAAAATGGCACCATTTGTATTCTCAAAACGGTTCTAGTGACAATTGTTTTTGGATGACCACCTTTAATCAGTGACTATTTTGATCATGCATTATTTCAAGATTTCGCTCGTCGTAATTGACTTTGTATATCCCTTTAAAAAATAAACTGCTCAACACTTGAAAACGTAAAATCGAAAATTTCAGAATAAGATTCTACAGGATGATAATCAAAGCTGTGCATTTTTTTGTTGTTGCTGATTTTGCAGTGTTTCATCACATACTAGTTTGAATTTTACCAACATTTTACCACTGTGGACCTAATTATAGTAGGTGACTTTGTGAAAATAAACGGAAGTGCAGAATGTTTCATAATTATTGTCATCAACCTGTCAAATTTTCAAAATTTTCATACAACGGCAAATGATACTCCAGGACATCAAAACTACGAACCAATTTATATCCCAACCTAATCTAATTTTCTATTAGCCATCGTATAAATAATTTCTAAATTCGACAGGTAGGTGACTAAGATTGAAAAACCCTACACTCGCTTCTTCTTCATTTCGATTTTACAGTTCAAGTGTTGAGCAATATACATTATGATTTGTTCTCAATCCTATCATGGATATTATCAAATCATTGATGACAATACATGGTGTATATCTGTGTATTTACCTGCCATTTCATTGTTGAATATGACCCAATCTTTTTCGTCAGCGATATTTTCAATGACCTGTTCTTGTATGGGACAAGATAACCAATGCTCTGGAGTAGTCACGTTGAAATGCCGATTCTCTTTGGTGGAATAACTCAAAGGGACCCACCAACAGGGATTCATAGCATCTCTCGTGTTGATTATGTCTCTCAAATATCGATGCTAAAAAACAAGAAACTTTTTCTGCATATCCATCAATTAATTTGGAATGGGCCCTAAAACGGATCCTTGCGGTACACCGTATCCGATATTCACCTGGGTGATTTCAGCCGTCTTCCTCTCATAGTTTCTCTTGATATTGATGACAGGGTAGCCCGTTTGCACTGTCCACGTGTCCATGATGGTTTTAACTGTCAAATTGTGTGGCAGTACTCCGTTTTTGTGCGCTTCATCTGTCAAACAGTCCCACAAATCGTCCTGTTCTGCGTTGCGGAATTTGTGTTTGCTCAGATAATTGCTGACACCTCTTCTGACAACCTCTTCGCCTAGGAAGAGGCTCATCATCCTGATGAGGGACGAGCCTTTCTTGTACGAAATCGTGTCGAAAATTTCGTCGATTTCTTTGGGATCACCGATCGGTACGGAAACCTGAAAATGTGCAGGTTATGGGGAGTGAAATTATTTTCTGGCATTGTAAGGATTTATTTAAAGGCAATTGCAACAGGTTTCTAACAAGTTAGTTGCAGATCATTTTGTTATAAATGCTTCATTGTAAGTTTTTTTTGGCTTATTCTCGTTGATCGTTTGTTTTTCGCCATCTAGGCAATTGCAAAACATTTATGATCAGTTAGTTGCAAGTTATCTTGTTAAAAATGCTTTCCTATAAGAGTTATGCAACATGATTATTACTCTTATTCTAATTGCCAGTGTGTTTTTTGCAATTGGGGCAATGCAACATGTTTCTGACAAATTAGTTGCAACTTATCTTGTTAAAAATGCTTTTCTATAAGAGTTTGGCAACATGATTATTGCTTTTATTCTTATTGCAAGTGTGTTTTTTGCAATTGAGGCAATGCAAAATGTATCTGACAAATTAGTTGCAAGTTATATTATAAATGCTTCTCTATAAGAGTTTTGCAACACGATTATTGCTCTTATTCTAATTGCAAGTGTGTTTTTTGCAATTGAGGCAATGCAAAATGTTTCTAATAAATTAGTTGCAAGTTATCTTGTTATAAATGCTTCTCTATAGGAATTTTGCAATATGATTATTGCTCTCATTATAATTGCAAGTCTGTTTTTTGCAATTGAGGTAATGCAAAATGTTTCGGACAAATTAGTTGCAAGTTATATTATAAATGCTTCCCTATAAGAGTTTTGCAACATGATTATTGCTCTTATTCTAATTGCAAGTGTGTTTTTTGCAATTGAGGCAATGCAAAATGTTTCTGACAAATTAGTTGCAAGTTATCTTGTTATAAATGCTTCTCTATAGGAATTTTGCAATATGATTATTGCTCTCATTATAATTGCAAGTCTGTTTTTTGCAATTGAGGTAATGCAAAATGTTTCTGACAAATTATTTGCAAGTTATATTATAAATGCTTCTCTATAAGAGTTTTGCAACACGATTATTGCTCTTATTCAAATTGCAAGTGTGTTTTTTGCAATTGAGGCAATGCAAAATGTTTCTAATAAATTAGTTGCAAGTTATCTTGTTATAAATGCTTCTCTATAGGGATTTTGCAATATGATTATTGCTCTTATTGTAATTGCAAGTTTGTTTTTTGCAATTGAGGCAATGCAAAATGTTTCTGACAAATAAGTTGCAAGTTATATTATAAATGCTTCTCTAAAGAGTTTTGCAACACGATTATTGCTCTTATTCTAATTGCAAGTGTGTTTTTTGCAATTGAGGCAATGCAAAATGTTTCTAATAAATTAGTTGCAAGTTATCTTGTTATAAATGCTTCTCTATAGGGATTTTGCAATATGATTATTGCTCTTATTGTAATTGCAAGTTTGTTTTTTGCAATTGAGGCAATGCAAAATGTTTCTGACAAATTAGTTGCAAGTTATATTATAAATGCTTCTCTATAAGAGTTTTGCAACACGATTATTGTTCTTATTCTAATTGCAAGTGTGTTTTTTGCAATTGAGGCAATGCAAAATGTTTCTAATAAATTAGTTGCAAGTTATCTTGTTATAAATGCTTCTCTATAGGGATTTTGCAATATGATTATTGCTCTTATTGTAAATGCAAGTGTGTTTTTTGCAATGGAGGCAATGCAAAATGTTTTTGGCAAATAAGTATTACTCTAATTCGCATTGCAAGTTTGTTATTTGCAATTGAGGCAAAGGCAAAATGTTTCTAATAAATTAGTTGCAAGTTATCTTATTTCGCTTCGCGTCGTTCGGGTCAACGACATTCGCGTGCGGGAAAATATCACTTTCCGCACTTGTTAGGAAAATAACCGTTTCCGACAAGATATGTTTTCCAGAATTTTCAGTTTCGATGTTTTCGCGACTGTTTAGGGCATTTTCCGGTTGAAACTTACAGGGTGTGAAGTTCTCAGCGAGTCGAACGAAAAAACGCTGAGCAGATTATCTGCGGCTTCTTCTTGCAAGGAATTCCATTGGGGAAAAAGTTCCTCCACTGCCAAACTGGCCATATAAGTGGCGAAACCTTCGTTCAACCACAAATCTGTCCACCATTTCATCGTCACCAGGTTGCCGAACCATTGATGAGCCAATTCATGAGCTAAAAAATTAATAAAATAATTATTATAATTAGTAATTTTGAATTGGAATCAGGGTAGGAGAAGATTTGATCGCAATTTTTTTGCTCAAATTCAACCCCACTGTATGTTCCTGAGATTTGTCATTTGAGAGCCAGGTCACGCTGTATATTAGAAACAGGGTGATTCAATCTCACAGGACCAAATTTGCAGCGACGATAGTTCGAGTAATTTCGAGAATATCACATTCTATAAATATACCGTGTGTCTCACTTCTACTGGAAGCATCCCTGTATCTTGGAAGCAAAGATACAGTCATATAGACGGATAATTGACTTTTTTCAATAATGGCAACTTACAGGTTGTTGAAATTAAAAACATGGAGGATATAAACTACGCAACACTAATTTCGTCGCACTCCAAAATTTTGCCTCTGTTCAAATATGAATAACTTTTTTCTGCTTTGAACGATTCGAATACGGATCACCCTGCTCGCTAGCCCAGTCCTTCAGCTATATTCTCGTAATTCTTTGAAATATAGGGTTCTTCACATAAAATCGCTACAGGGTGTTACCTGAAACTGTGCAAAATTTCGAAAATTTCAAAAGTATCCCAAATGAAGAAACATTTTTTTTTTCAACTTTGACAGTAGAAGCATGTAGCATGTCTTATTTACAGAGTGATCTCGAAAAATTAACTTTTTGGATTTGCAGTCATACTTCTTTCCTCGTCAACCGATTTTAGAAATCTCAGGCCCATTTTGAAGCTTAAACTTCAGATGAAGAGATATGAAGATCAGAATTGACTCAAGATGAACATTATACAGTGTGTCTCACTTCTAATGGAAGCACCCCTGTATCTTTCGTAATTATTGAGTCAGGATTCTGAAATTTGCAACAGCGGTAGATATACTGAATATACACAATATGACCAAGAGGAGTCGTCTCCAGTGATATACACTGCTCGCCAACAGCCATGGAACCACCCAGAAAAATGACATAAGGAGGCAAGATAGGTTGAAAATCACTTCGGATTCAAAATTAGGACATCCCCTTCGCTTCCTCCTGCAAATTTCAGAACGCTACCTCAATAATTACGTGAGATACGGGGGCGCTTCCATGAGAAGAGAGACAGAATTTGATTTTTCTGAACTGAAAATTTTCCATAAAAAATATGTATAGTCAGTGAATTGGACGTCCTGATTTCGAATCCGAAGTGATTTTCAACCAATTTTGGCTCCTAATAACATTTTCCGGAAATTTGGGTGGTTCCATGGCTGTTGGCGAGCAGTGTTTATCACTGGAGATGACTCCACTTGATCATAGTGTTTATTTCCTGTCTATTTCCCGCTCCCTGTAAGTTTCAGAATCCCAACTCACCAATTAGGAAACATACAGGGGTGCTTCCATTATAGAAGTGAGACACACTGTATAATGTTCATCTTGAGTCAATTCTGATCTTCATATCTCTTCATCTGAAGTTTCAGCTTCAAAATGAGATTTTAAAAAACGGGTTCACAAGGAAAAAAGTTGTGACTGCAAAACCAGAAAGTTAATTTTTTGAGATCACTCTGTAAATAAAAGAGATAAGAAGACAATTTGATAAATGTCCCTTGGTAATGAGATCGTCTTCATGCCTCTGCTTTCGAAGTTGAAAAAAAAGGTTTTGTTCACCTGGAATCCGTTTGAAAATTCTGAAATTTTTCACAGTTTCAGGTGACACCCTGTAGCGGTTTTATATAAAGAACCTCATGTTTTAAAAAATCACGAGATTATAGCTCAAGGACTGGGCTAGCGAACAGTGTAATCCGAATTCAAATTGTTCAAAGCAGAAAAAAGTTATTCATATTTTAACAGCGACAAAATTTTGGGGTGCGACGAAATTACTGTCGCGTAGTTCATTTACCTATGACACTGGCAACACTGTGCTGGCTAGTTTTGGAGGAAACTTTGGGATCGTAAAGCAGATAAGCCTCTCGGTAAGTGATGAGGCCCCAATTTTCCATTGCGCCTGCGCTGAAATCAGGAATGGCAACCATGTCCTGTTTGGGCAGAGGGTATTTCAAGTCGAAGAATTTTTCGTAGTACTCCAACGCTTTGGGACCCACATGGGCAGCAAAATCTACCTAGAATCAGGAAAATATAACCATTATTGAACCAACATTCACTAATACTTCTACACAAAACTATATTTTTCTTCAAATCGGGCCCAGCAGGTCACCCTCTGTATGAAGGACTTCAAAAAGTATGACCAACTAAGTTGGAGTTATTGTATTCCTCAAGGAACCGATCCCGGCCCCCTTCTTTGCATCATTTATGTCTCGAATGGAATTATGAATTATATTTTACTTACCTGATTGAGTGCATCTTTTCTTGCCCAAATTCTGAAGGTCACATTGTTGTTCTGCGACGTTTCTGCTTTTTTATAGTCAAAATCTGAAACGATGTAGGCCACAAGGTAGGTGGACATAGGTACTGAAGTGTCGAATCTATCCCAATACCATCCTTCTTTTTCTTTCCTGAAATTATTGTTGTTCAATGGAGATTACTACCGGTTTTTGTTTGTTTCCAAGGAAAAAAGATTACGATAACGATTACTGGAATCAATAATTTTGTCAAACTGATAACCTCTTGAGGAGGTCCACAATAAGAAGTCTCAAGGACGACCACCTGTTACAATTTCCTAGATACAATAAATGACGTCTCAGAATATTCAAATAAAACCCTCCAGAGCAGTACTGAAGATGTCTCAGGAACTTTTTTGAGTGAGTTCTGAAAGACGTCTCTGGGACGTCCTCCTGTTACCATTTTTGAAATGAAAACGTCTTTAGGCGTCCGGCACTTTTTCAGGTGAAGAAACCGTCTGTTTGTTACGCTTTTACGTCAAAAACGCTCAACCGATTTTTTTATCAAAAAAATTCAAGATGGCGGATCCAATATGGCGGACGAGTGTTGTAATAATTGGGTTCCGATTCTATTCAAAATTGGTGTCTGAAGGTTTATGGGTCGAAAATCATGATTTGTTCGTTAAAATTTGGTAATTCAAGATGGCGGATCCAATATGGCGCATGAGTTTTGTAATTATGATCCGATTCTAGTCAAAATTTGTAGGGTGATCAAAATTTTGAATCTTGAAGCACTCTGTGTTTTTTCCAATCAAATTCCAGTAGATATAGTGAATCAAAAGTTAAGATAGGAACATGTTAGCCATTTTGATCGATAATGAATAGTTTCGGCACAAAAAAAAATTAAAAATCGCGATTTTGACATATCTCTGTAAACTTCCTGCTACACCCCCAAGTGTGATAGAATGATGAAATCAGCTCTTCAGGAAAAATTTTAAAATGCAATAAAATACAGGGTGTTCCATTTGAAATAACAAAGTTGCTAGTTGTTTCTGATAGAAGTGGCAACATTGTATCGATGAAAATATTTCAGACGGATAGAGAATGTTCAATTATCAAAGCATCCCAATTTTCAGAATGTTCTGTCTTTTCGTTCTACAGATACTTCTTAGGCCATCCATCGTGGATCACCCTGTATAGTCACTAAATGTCACTTATGGAAGTCTTTTGGTTGTCACTGGAAGTATTTGGCAGTCACTGGAAATATTTGGTAGTCACTGCTCACCAAACAAAGTTGAAAGCTATGTTGATGCAATGTTGAAGCAATTACTGATGAAACGGACGTTCAGCAATATTGCAAAGGTGAAGTTCGTTAATGTAGCGTTGCAGCAATGTTACATGTTGCTGTGACATTTCTGGAACGTTACATATACAAATTTACATTTGCAATATTGCTGAACTTACAGAGGCTCTGCGAGTAACAAAGGCATGTTGCTGATCTCCTTGTCACCCTCTTTTCTGCCGATGCAGTAGTCAAAAGTGGATTTCATTTAATAATAATAATAATAATAATAATAATAATGAAAAACCTTGCCTAAATCGTCGGTACCTTTGAGTAAATTGAGAGGAGTAAGTCTTTTCTTGAGAATAAAGTGTACATCCAATTGGAAGTCACTGGAAGTGATTGAAAGTCTTTGAGTCACTGGAAGTTTTATATAGTCCCTAAAAGTGTTTGGTAACTAGCCACTAAATGTTACCTATGGAAATCTCTGGTTTTATTGGGAGTATTTGGCAGTCACTGAAAGATTTTGGTAATCACTGAAAATCATTGGAAGTCTTTGGTAGTCACTAGAAAATGCGTATGGAAATCTTTGGTTGTTACTGAAAGTATTTGGCAATCACTGGAAATATTTGGTAGTCACTGAAAGTATTTATTTGATAGTCACTGCGAAAGTTTTTGGTAGTCTCTGAAATTCGTTGAAAGTTTTTGGTTGTCACTGGAAATATTTGGTAGTCACTGCGAAAGTTTTTGGTAATCACTGAAAATCATTGGAAGTCTTTGGTAGTCACTAGAAAATGCGTATGGAAATCTTTGGTTGTTACTGGAAGTATTTGGCAATCACTGGAAATATTTGGTAGTCACTGAAAGTATTTATTTGATAGTCACTGCGAAAGTTTTTGGTAGTCTCCGAAATTCGTTGAAAGTTTTTGGTTGTCACTGGAAATATTTGGTAGTCACTGCGAAAGTTTTTGGTAATCACTGAAAATCATTGGAAGTCTTTGGTAGTCACTAGAAAATGCGTATGGAAATATTTGGTTGTTACTGGAAGTATTTGGCAATCACTGGAAATATTTGGTAGTCACTGAAAGTATTTATTTGATAGTCACTGCGAAAGTTTTTGGTAGTCTCCGAAATTCGTTGAAAGTTTTTGGTTGTCACTGGAAATATTTGGTAGTCACTGCGAAAGTTTTTGGTAATCACTGAAAATCATTGGAAGTCTTTGGTAGTCACTAGAAAATGCGTATGGAAATCTTTGGTTGTTACTGGAAGTATTTGGCAATCACTGGAAATATTTGGTAGTCACTGAAAGTATTTATTTGATAGTCACTGCGAAAGTTTTTGGTAGTCTCTGAAATTCGTTGAAAGTTTTTGGTTGTCACTGGAAATATTTGGTAGTCACTGCGAAAGTTTTTGGTAATCACTGAAAATCATTGGAAGTCTTTGGTAGTCACTAGAAAATGCGTATGGAAATATTTGGTTGTTACTGGAAGTATTTGGCAATCACTGGAAATATTTGGTAGTCACTGAAAGTATTTATTTGATAGTCACTGCGAAAGTTTTTGGTAGTCTCTGAAATTCGTTGAAAGTTTTTGGTTGTCACTGGAAATATTTGGTAGTCACTGCGAAAGTTTTTGGTAATCACTGAAAATCATTGGAAGTCTTTGGTAGTCACTAGAAAATGCGTATGGAAATCTTTGGTTGTTACTGGAAGTATTTGGCAATCACTGGAAATATTTGGTAGTCACTGAAAGTATTTATTTGATAGTCACTGCGAAAGTTTTTGGTAGTCTCCGAAATTCGTTGAAAGTTTTTGGTTGTCACTGGAAATATTTGGTAGTCACTGCGAAAGTTTTTGGTAATCACTGAAAATCATTGGAAGTCTTTGGTAGTCACTAGAAAATGCGTATGGAAATATTTGGTTGTTACTGGAAGTATTTGGCAATCACTGGAAATATTTGGTAGTCACTGAAAGTATTTATTTGATAGTCACTGCGAAAGTTTTTGGTAGTCTCTGAAATTCGTTGAAAGTTTTTGGTTGTCACTGGAAATATTTGGTAGTCACTGCGAAAGTTTTTGGTAATCACTGAAAATCATTGGAAGTCTTTGGTAGTCACTAGAAAATGCGTATGGAAATATTTGGTTGTTACTGGAAGTATTTGGCAATCACTGGAAATATTTGGTAGTCACTGAAAGTATTTATTTGATAGTCACTGCGAAAGTTTTTGGTAGTCTCCGAAATTCGTTGAAAGTTTTTGGTTGTCACTGGAAATATTTGGTAGTCACTGCGAAAGTTTTTGGTAATCACTGAAAATCATTGGAAGTCTTTGGTAGTCACTAGAAAATGCGTATGGAAATCTTTGGTTGTTACTGGAAGTATTTGGCAATCACTGGAAATATTTGGTAGTCACTGAAAGTATTTATTTGATAGTCACTGCGAAAGTTTTTGGTAGTCTCTGAAATTCGTTGAAAGTTTTTGGTTGTCACTGGAAATATTTGGTAGTCACTGCGAAAGTTTTTGGTAATCACTGAAAATCATTGGAAGTCTTTGGTAGTCACTAGAAAATGCGTATGGAAATATTTGGTTGTTACTGGAAGTATTTGGCAATCACTGGAAATATTTGGTAGTCACTGAAAGTATTTATTTGATAGTCACTGCGAAAGTTTTTGGTAGTCTCTGAAATTCGTTGAAAGTTTTTGGTTGTCACTGGAAATATTTGGTAGTCACTGCGAAAGTTTTTGGTAATCACTGAAAATCATTGGAAGTCTTTGGTAGTCACTAGAAAATGCGTATGGAAATCTTTGGTTGTTACTGGAAGTATTTGGCAATCACTGGAAATATTTGGTAGTCACTGAAAGTATTTATTTGATAGTCACTGCGAAAGTTTTTGGTAGTCTCCGAAATTCGTTGAAAGTTTTTGGTTGTCACTGGAAATATTTGGTAGTCACTGCGAAAGTTTTTGGTAATCACTGAAAATCATTGGAAGTCTTTGGTAGTCACTAGAAAATGCGTATGGAAATATTTGGTTGTTACTGGAAGTATTTGGCAATCACTGGAAATATTTGGTAGTCACTGAAAGTATTTATTTGATAGTCACTGCGAAAGTTTTTGGTAGTCTCTGAAATTCGTTGAAAGTTTTTGGTTGTCACTGGAAATATTTGGTAGTCACTGCGAAAGTTTTTGGTAATCATTAAAAATCGTTGAAAGTCTTTGGTAGTCACTTGAAAATGCGTGTGGATGTCTTCGGTTGTTACTGAAAGTCTTTGGTAGCCTCTGCCCACCGAGCAAAGTTGAAAGCTATGTGGACACAATGTTGAAGCAATATTGCAAAGGTGAAGTTCCTTAATGTAGCGCTGCAGCAATATTACATGTTGCTGTGACATTGCTGGAACGTTACATATGTACATATACAAATTTACATTTGTAATATTGCTGAAAGTCCGTTTCAGTAATTGCTTCAACCTTGCATCAATATAACTTCCAAATTGGCTCAGTGGTGGGAGTATCTGATAGTCATTGGAAACAATAGAAAAAAATTACGGTAAATTACAATGTTAGACCTTTCAAATGCTTTCTGTTCTCAAACCTAAACCTTGCAACAAAAAATACTTACAGAGGCTCTGTGAGTAACAAAGGCATATTGCTGATCGCCTTGTAACCCTCCTTTCTGCCGATGCTGATGTCAAAAGTGGCTTTCATTTCTGGTTCGTCGAAACAAGGGAAGGCCATCCTGGCACTGATGGCCTCGAATTGCGTCACACCCAGCCATCTCTTCTCTTTCTTCTGCTTGTCGAAGTAGCTGCTTCTGTAGAAACCTGCCAAGCCATCGTCCAAATGACCTCTGAAGCTGATGAAAAGCTGGTATTTCCTACCAGCTAGTAGAGGTTCGTTGAGGTGGATTATGAGGAAGTCGTTGTCTTTTTGGAGTTCGATTTTTAGGATTTTCAGGGCTTTGGAGTCGTTGCTAGATACGTCTTTCAAGGTTATTGCTTCTTCTTTGATTTCCAAGTCTTTCGAGTGGAGGGTTATGTTGTGAATTGTGTGAACGCAAGTGGTCTGAAAAATATGAGTGATTCTGACTATGGTGAGGAAAATCAAAGGGTAAATATTTCACAAAAATTTAAGAACATAATTCTAGACCTGCATTTTTCGATATACAAGGTGTTTTTGAAATAAGTGCACACATTCAGCACATTTATATGATACAGTCTAAGGAACATATGATATCAGATTGTTTATAATTCTTCTATTTAACGAGAAATTTCATCCCAAAACTTTGACAAAATACGATAAAAAACTCAAGTACACGTGATTGTGCCTACCGCATAGAAATTTGAACAGAGGTGACGTCATATTTGCTACAGTGTCGAACTTTGGGTGCAACAAGGGGTCTAACCTCAAATTTATTTTGATCCCTAAATTTTTTTATTAATGCCATTCGATAGTACACGTCGAGCTTTCTCAGTGTTTGAAATATTTGCACTTATTTCAATGCCACCCTGTATATACAGACTGATTTTTTTTTCTAGAGAACGTAACTTGGGATTATTCTGAAACTTTGGTGCCTTGGTTAATTAGTTGTGCTTTATTGACCTAAAATATTCTCAGCGCTGCGACGTTGCCGCTTATATTGGAAAGTAGCTACAACTTTGATTTTTTGATTAGGACACCCTGTATATTATCCCATTTTCAGATTCTCCCTGAACAGCTGATTCCATAGACCTATATCACTGGGGGTCTAGCAGTGACAATTACAGAGATATAGGGTGTGAAAAATCGAGATTTTTCGATTTTTCACACCCTGTATCTTTGTTATAATTCACGCTAGACCACAAGTGTAGTAGGTCGATGAAATCAGCTCTTTAGGAAGAATCTGGAAATGGAATAATATATAGGGTGTCCCATTCAGAAAATCAAAGATGTTGCTACTTTTCAATATAATCGGCAACGTCGCAGTGTTGAGAATATTTTAGGTAGATAGAACACAACTAATTATCCAAAAAAACAAATTTTCAATTTAATCCTACGTTGCGTTCTCCAGAAACGTCTGATGTGCCATCCACTGTCAATCAGCCTGTATATACAGGGGTTTCAGAAAGAATATCGGCTTTTTCAAATAATTCCCTTCATCAATCAAAGAAAATTTGTATATTCCATCTTCCCCCTGACGGGAAGTAAGGTTTTTTTATATAAATCTATGCAGACCAGTATTTATTTCCAACTCGAAAATTATTGCAACTTTTGTCCTACTTTTTCGAAAGAAATGAATAAAACTGAATGTGAAAACGTATCTGATCATTATTATTCAATTATGTTCTGCACAAATCTCGATTTATTGAACATATTTCTTGGTCGACTGGACACTTCTCAAACGTAAACTATTGATTTAAATAACTGACCATTCCTATCCTTGTATAATTATAATTTCCAAATCGGACATATAAAAACGAATTTTATTCAATTTGCATTCTGCAAGAAACGTTGACCTTCGCAGACCGCAACTATAATAACCTACTAAGAAAATTACATCAAGATTGCATAAATTTCCAATAATTCATCGTAAGTAAGGACATTATGAAGGTACTTCGTTTACCAATGGAGAAAATTCATTATTTGTTCTTATATAAGAATAAACACATATCGAACTGAATGATTATCAGCATGCCCATGTTTAACAATTTTTTTCACATCAACAATTAATAGGTATGGATTTAGTTTGGAATTATCATACGATTATTCATCTGGGAAAAATCATCCATTATTTTGGAATGTATATATATTTTTCCTTGGTTTATTGAAAATTACAATACTTGATTTCAGTTTGGAGTACAGCTAGATTATCAATTATGAAGCCAATCGAAATCCTTCAAAACAAAGTTATTAAATGTATATACAAACTAGATTACTTGGAATCAACAAGACATCTTTATAAACCTAGGCAATTGTTAGATATCAACTCCATTCACAAATTCAAAATATTCAATTTCATCCATTCCGTCAAAATATAATTATAAACATTCAAATCTGAATTTTGAAGTCAATAATAGTATAGTCATAAACACGAACACATAACCAGAGAAAAAGATATGTTGACTCTCATCAAAATCAAATCAGATATGGGTAAAAGATCTATTTTATAAACTGGGCGTCAATTGAAACGTTAATAGTGAAATTTGGCATCAAGTTTGACTTCTCGTTATTTCTAAAATATTGAACGAATTTTGAATTGCCGCCCAGATTCTGAATGCCTTTTTCATCGTCTTTCGAACCGTTCCTTACAGCTTCTTCTAAAATGATCAGGACCCGTGATACAGGGTGAAACAAAGTTTCGTGCATTTTGAGAAATATTTCTCCGCCCCCCTATTTTTTCGGAAGATCACGATGCTCATATTTTATTCGGGCATTTCATAAATAGCAACCATACCTCGGGACGTTTTCGAGTTTTTGCCTAAAACTACTGTGGTTTCCGAAATAAATTTTTCTTGCAATTGACGCCCAGTTTACAATGGAACAATTATCTATAATGAATAACCTGCCAGACTGAAAAAATACTTATGTCTTTGATTCTCTTATATCATCCTAAATCATTTCAAGAACTTATATTCAACAGTCTCTAGAAGAAACAACATTATATGTACTATGTATATGATTTAAAAATGATTAAATCTGATTATCTAATTCTTTTTTTTTTTAGTTGCTCTCTCATAATTTTCCCTGCTATAAACACATATATGATTCTTGGGAATAATAGAGATTATTATTATTATTTTGGGACTAAGATTATTATCGAGTAATTAAAATAATGCGAAACTTACCTTGATCCAAACATTTCCGTCGAAACTGAAATTGTCCTTTTGTCCCAAATAAGAGATTATCTCCAGTTTATAATTTTCTGGCAAGACATTGGTCGGAAGACGATAGGCATCAACAAGAAGAAGACTTGTTAAAAACAAGTATATAAGCGGTACCATCATCTACAAGAAAAAATTTCAATTTTTGCGATAACCTTGACATCGATGTCAACCTCAAAAATAAAAGTGAGATTTAATCAAACGTCAAAAAATGTTGACATTCCCATGACATTTTCACAGTGGAGCAGAAAATTGTTTTGCTACAAATAATTTATTTGTTTTACTAGGCTAAAAAGTACAAGATTTAATGCCGCGACCAAGGCATATTAGATCTTCATTTCTGCCATGTGAAACATATAATTTTTTTTCCAAATTCTTTTCATTTTCACGCAAATTTCTAATAATCCATCATTTTTTGTTTTCCAAAGTCATTGTCAGTTTTGATAACCAATTTGCTTCAAATTACTTGGAAGGTTGCTATGCACCAAACTTTTTCTACCTAGGCAGTAAAAGTACACCTTTTCTGCCTGTTAAGTGTCATTGAAATTCAACTTTTAATGTAATTTGGAGAAAAACTTGTTTCTCAACTCCGCAATTACAGTAAAATTCATTGGTTTTTGAATGTATGATAAATTGATATTCATCATAAAGGACGTGGAAAGACATTCTGAATTGAGAAAACCTAATCACGAATCTGCGATTGAGATCTATGAAAATGGCAAGTTTCAATCATTCAAGTTTGAACCCCTTGATTGGTTGAAGGTATTGAAAAGGAATATTCTCAGATATAATTATGAACATAAAAAAAATGGATATATACAGGGTGTTTCATAATTGAATGCTGATCCTTGGGGGCGATAATCCTTGGATGATTTCAAAGAGAAAAGTTCATATCAACATATGTCCTAAACCTCTTAGTTATTGAGCTACAGGGTGATGAAATTTCAAGGAAAAAATGAGTTTTTCATCATAATTTTTCACCACTCTTAGATATTGTTTGTTATGATATTTTGTATACACCTTTTCATTATTAAGGAGCATTTTTTTACGTGAAAGATATTTGAAAATTCTCACCAGTGGCGTCCGTACAGGGTTTGAACTGACAATTTTTGAAGAAAAAAATAGTACGCCACTGATTTCTCTGGCAACCAGATTTTTTTTTCAATTCTTATTCATTTTGGAGCAAATTTGGTTCCTAGACTTACTTTCATACAACGTACCGTTTTCGCGTAAAAAAATAAAAACCAAAGAATTTTGTTCCTTCAGTTTTTGGATATTGTTTTTGGTAATTCAGTAGACACCCACTATAAGTGGAAACACATTTTGTTTTGGGACGAAAATCAAACATTTACTTTTACTATTGATGTCCTCGTCCTCGTAGACCTGATATTGAATGTTTAGTTTAAATAAACGCTGTACGCTTCTGATTTCAACACCCTGTAGCTCAAAAACTAAGAGGTTCAGGACATATGTTGATATGAACTTCTCTCCTTAAAATCATCCAAGGATCATCGCCCTTTAGGATCAGCATTCAATTATGAAACACCCTGTATATATATATATATGTATCTACCCCCTTTTCAAGATATTTTTGTGTTTCCGAATTAGCTAGTCTTTTTAGCTATGACAGCTATGTGTAGATATCTAGATTGCTTATCGATGAAAAATCGATCAATTTATTTTCTATATTCACAGTTAGACTAGATGAGAAGTGGTTCTTTTGTTATTGTTATCGATGAAATAGTGGTTTGAAAGTATATCTGATTAGTATAATACCGACCTCTAGGCTACTCTAGAACCAGAGGTTAATGAACTTCATGAACACACAGTATCTATCTAGTAAAAAATTTTCGTTTTCGAAATACAGGGTGTTCGAATTGAGAATAAAATAATATTTTTTCCTGATGTGACTGCTGAAAATCAGATGATAGAATTCCTATGTTTAGAAAAAATACACACACTGGCACAATTAGGGGAACGGGTAAAATTTACACTAAGTTTGACATCAATTTTCTCTCGAACCGATCACTCGATTCAAATTTGTTTTTCACGAATTGTGGCTTCATTCTTCACGAATACATCTGAGAAATAACCACCTCCAAACGATTCGTCTTTATATCATATACAGGGGTGTAAAGAAAGTACGGATTTTTCGGTATTCTTTAAGACATCCTGTGGAGTGAACCACTGATAATTGAAACGATTTTCCAACACCAAATTATAGCCCAATCTATCTCGAATATTTTCGTTTTTTATTCATCTTGATATCCCAATTATCCAAGAAAATAAAGAGTTTAAAAGAAGAGTTGGATATTGGTATTAATTTTACCACCTCGAAACTCGAAATGAGGAGAACGTGTCGTTTTTCAACTTGTTTCTGTGAGGATTTTTACTTCAAGATGAGAATTGTTCACAGTTTTACCTATCGGTTTACTGTTTAAAGGCACATATACGAATACTCTCATGAATATGCAGGGGTGATAAAAGTTGCTCCAATGTTCTTTTGGTGAAATGCTATTTTTGTTAATCAACGTTGGCTATTTTGTTAATGTCATTAATTATTGTCATAGTCAAGCGATTCACAATTCATAAATTTGATTAATGAAAATTCAACGTGAGAGATTTGACTACTACTAACTGATGTGGCGAGGGCTGTAGCATTAATTGAAAATGACCAGTGGGCCAATGTTCTTTTAACATATGAGAGCTGCATCTGCACCAACTCAATAAATGGCAGGGAAAGACTATATCGCCGAGGTGAACAAAATGAACAATTTGATTTTACTGCTTCTGTCTCCTATGGCAGAGGTTTAGTCATGGTTAGGTTAGGTTAGTCAAGAAACGACACATTTTCAGATCCAATTTGAGTTTTGAGGTGTAAAATTGATACCAATATCCACCTTTCCTTTGAAACTCTGTATTTTCTTGAATAATTGAGATATCAAGATGAATAAAAAACGAAAATATTCGGAATAGATTGGGCTCCAATTTGGTGTTGAGAAATCGTTTCAATTATCAGTGGTTCAGTCCACAGGATGTCTAAAAAAATACCGAAAAATTCGTACTTTCTTTACACCCCTGTATATGATGGGAAGACTCATCGTTCGAAGGTAATTATTTCTCAGATGTATTCGTGAAGAATGAAGCTACATTTCGTGAAGAAAAAAATTTGAATCGAGCGATCGGTTCGAAAGAAAAATGATGTCAAACTTAGTGTAAATTTTGCCCGTTCCCCTAATTGTGCCAGTGTGTGTAGTATCAATATTTCGATTGTCGTCTATTCTCACTGTGGAATTGATATTTCCATAAAGAAACTGAGATGATGGGGATAGAGGGCATTCGAATCAAGGGGGACAACGCTATACAATAACTCACTAATGATTAAAAAATTACCTGTTGATCGCTATAATTTTTTCAACACTAGAAACACACACTATCAAACTCCAATCGAACGTTACATTTTATTTTTCACAATGAATTTCCGAATAACAATTGCGAATCAGCGTTTTTTTCGTGATGCAAAAGCCAAATGCGCTGACCAAATTCTTTTTCGCAGCAGATATCTTCCGTCATAATCGACCAATTTAGAATCTATTAGCACTCGCTCTTGACACTTATTTGTACATCGCATACGGGGTGATACAAATATCCCTACCTGGGATACCGGAATGATTCATAAACAAATGAATAATGAAAATGCTGGGGTGTACAGTGTGTCCCACTTACCATGCTCACCATGGGTATCTTTTTAACGGTGAGAGATACGAGGTCGGTTAAATGACACCAAATGTGGAGTTTGTCAAGGCCAACTATAATGTGGAAAAATATTTTGATGAAATCTATTGGTTTTTGTTTTATACGCAAAAAACAGACTTTGATCATTTTCATATCTCCTCCGTAACTTCTTTATTTATGGAAATATTCAAATAGGAATTTCACATTCTCATGGCAGTATTTCAAAGTGATTTCGGAATATAAATTAAATATGAAATTGATACCAACTCTTCTAGATTTTGAGATATCAGCACCAACTTTAGTTTTTCAAATGTAGGCCATAGCTCACTATGACTTAGTTACAAATAACGTTTTTTCTCTTTCAGATGATATGTCGCAGTAATAGTTTTGTGTTGATAACAACGGAGTTATCGTCATTTATACAAAAACAAAAAATTATTTGGAAGCCGCCATCTTGAATTTATAAATTTTAACAAAAAAATCATGATCTCCGACCTCGAAAACCCCCACTTACCAATTTTGAATGGAATCGGACCAATCGGAATCTTGTCCGCCATCTTGGAGCAGCCATTTTCTTATTAATTCCAACAAAAATTCCATAATGTATTGTCACCGAAATTATTGACACCTGCCAAATTTCAAGTTAATCGGAGTTATGGAATTTTTGTTGAAATAAAAAAAATGGCTGCTCCAAGATGGCGGACAAGATTTGGTCCGATTCCATTCAAAATTGGTAGGTGGGGGTTTTTGAGGTCGCAGATCATGATTTTCTTGTTAAAATTCATAAATTCAAGATGGCGGCTTCCAAATAATTTTTGTTTTTGTATAAATGACGATAACTCCGTTGTTGTCAACACAAAACTATTACTGCGACATATCATCTGTAAGAGAAAAAAAGTTATTTGTAACTAAGTCATAGTGAGCTATGCCTACATTTGAAAAACTAAAGTTGGTGCTGATATCTCAAATTCTAGAAGAGTTGGTATAAATTTCATAGTTTTTTCGAAACCACTTTGAAAAACTGCCATGAGAATGTGAAATTTCTATTTGAATATTTTCATAAATAAAGAAGTTACGGAGGAGACATAAAAATTATCAAAATCTGTTTTTTGTGTATAAAACGAAAACGAATAGATTTTATCAAAATATTTTATCACATTATAGTTGGCCTTGACAAACTCCATATTTGGTGTCATTTAACCGACCTCGTATCTCTCACCGTAAAAAAGATACCCATGGTGAGCATGGTAAGTGGGACACACTGTATATTTATGATTTAGGAAAAGAGTGTATGTATCTTCAGGGTCAGAAATAGAGTTCACTAATGTATACAGGGTGGTCCGTTTTTTAATACAGGAAATTTAACAGCGTATAGTATTCGTTGAAAT